TTTTTTAAAGTGAAACAAAGATATTGTCCCTTTTCTTTTCAAGTAGATAGAAAAAAATAAATTTTACTTATTAACCCAAGAAAAATTATGTATTTTCCTCATGCAACTGATGAAATTTCATTAGTTATTTTTGGGATACATTTTATTATAGGGAGCATTCATACATACAGTTTTAATATCATCAATATTAATTAAAGTGCATTAAAAGATGAAAAGGTTTTGAAATCCCTACTGCCCACAGAAACAAAACAAAATTTGTGCAAAAGGAAATAGGTGCATTGGCTATTATTCTCTCAGCCACAGAAAAAGGACTAATCTAACTGTAGTTACATTTTTGGTTGCCTATCCAACAGTCATTTCTCTTTATTATTTGCTTAAGGAATAAAGATTTTCTTCAATATTCAGCAGCTGCTTACAGAAAAGTTGATCTTCTCTCAGGACTCAAGATATAAATCTTGAAAATTTTGTTTTAATGTTTTATCTTTAAAATAACTTCAGACTTAAAAATAAGTTAGAAACAGAACAAAGAGCACCTCCATACCTATCATCCAGCTTCTCAAAATGTTAATATCTTGCATAACCATAATTATCAAAATCATGAAATTAACATTGATGCAGTATTATTAACTAATCTGTAGGCCTTATTAAAATTCTGCCAATTGTCCCTCTAATATTCTTCAGGTCCAGGATCCAATTCAGGATCCTACATTGTATTTAATGTCATGTCTCCTCCAATCTGGGACAGTCTCTCCATCATTTTCGTCTTTCACAGCCTTGACGCTTTTGAAAAGTACTGGCCAGTTATTTTGTTGATTGTACTTCAACTTGGGTTTGTCTCATGTTTCCCATGATAAAATCTGGACTGTGTATTTTTGATAAGAATACAACAGAAGTAATGTGTTCTTCTTGGTGCATTGCATGATATGAGGTTGACATATCTGATTACTAATGATGTTCACTTTGACCGTTTCATTAAGATGAAGTCTGCCTGGTTCCTCCACTGTAATATTACAATTTCCCCTTTGCAAATATTAAGTATCATGTGGGAGATAAACTTCGAGTAATTTGAAAAATTTACAATTATAATTTTTCATTATACTTTTATTAGTTTTAACTTCAATGATTCTTGCCTTCAACAATTACTGTTGTCATTTTTGCCAAATGATGATTTTTAAATATTATTTCTACAATTAGTAATTGAAATTCTAAAAAACAACTGTCCATTTATCCCATGGGTAGAATAATTCATTATCATCATATTTCATTGTTCAGGCTGTTCTTGATTTTGCCATTAGGAGATTTAAAAAAATATATATATTTTATTGATTTTTTACAGAGAGGAGGGGAGAGGGATAGAGAGTTAGAAACATCGATGAGAGAGAAACATCGATCAGCTGCCTCTTGCACGCCCCCTACTGGGGATGTGCCCGCAACCAAGGTATATGCCCGTGACTGGAATCAAACCTGGGACCCTTGAGTCCGCAGGCCGACGCTCTATCCGCTGAGCCATACCGGTTAGGGCGAGAGATTTTTTTTTTTTTAAGTTCTCTTCTGTATTTTTTCAACATGCCTCCATTACTTTTTGAACATTTCCTTATTTTCTGGCACCAAAAGAAGTTCCAGCTCATATTGTACTTTGCATGCCCCGAAGACCTGATATCAGCCAAATTCTCCAAAAAAACCCTTGATTTCTTTTACTGTAGAATCCTCTTTAGAAATCAAGATCTGGGCCTTGGGTGTGCTCATTACTGCTGGGAATCACTGTTTTTAGACCCTCTTAGTGGATCAGGCCTAGAAAATACATGTATGTCCTCACACACATTAACACATATCTGTATTTCATCTATATATCAAAACCCACGAATTCATACTAATAACTACAATTCTATCTAGCAGCATATAGTTCATTCTAGCATTCTCTTTTTTCTTATTTGTAACTCCTTTCTCCTGATAGTGAGCAACCTGTCAATAATGTATTTACTTATTTGCTCAATCCTAGAATACATATAAAGTATGATCAGAATCTTTATTACTCTAAGTGAATCATGTGAATTTAATTCCCCTTGCCAGGTACTGTTTAGGAATGAGCACACAATAATCATCACTGAGTCAGAGTTAAATCCACTGGGGGCTGCTTCTGGCAAACTTTTATAATTAGTAGAAAGGGATACAAGGAGGATCTGCAAGTGGTAACTAGAATGAGGGTGGCCATCTTGACATTCTGCAATGAAGGCTAATAGGACAAGCCAAAACACTAAAGGTAGCAGAGAATAGAAAAGACAGAAATAACCTGAGTCTCTGGTGATTTTTGAACCATTGAATAACCAGTTCCAGAATCTCCCAGCTTCGGGTCTTTTATGTGAAAGAATATGTTTTCCTTACTGTAAAAGTCACATCTGGTGGTTTTTTTCTCACAGTAAGAAATTATCCTAACTAATAAGATGCATATCCTAAATTTACTACTCAGAAATAATTTCTCTTATTTCCTCTGTAAGTAAAGAAACATTTTCTCTTTTGTAGAAACTAAACATAACTACCACAGAAACAGAGAAATGGACTATTCTATGAGTAAGGATGTTTAAAAAAATATCTTTGCCCTCACCGATGTGGCTCAGTTGGTTGGACATCGTCCCGTGCACAGAGGTGTTGCCAGTTCAATTCCTGGTTGGGGCATATGTCCAGGGTTGTGCGCTCGAGCCCCGGGGGTGGGGGGGAGGGCTGTACAGGAGGCAACCCATTGATCTTTCACTATCACATCGATGTTTCTCTCTCTCTTTCTACCTAAATAAATTTAAAAATCTTTTTAAAAATTTAAAAAAATATTTAAGGTAAGAATATATATATACTTTCAACAATGCAAAACATTTTAAAGTGTCACTAACTAAGGAGAATCATAAAATTATTCTTCAAAAGAACTATTTAAAAAATTTATGATTTTACAAATTTGAATCTAAGTCATCTTCTAACATGACTTTCTAGGTGTAAAGAAAAACTGCAATTTTCAGATTATAATGGCGAAAACAACTAGGTATGTTTGATGGGTGCTTGGCAAACTCTAGCTTTTGGCTACAGCCTTGAAAGCTTTAGGAATATGAAGTAACTGAGACCCACTGGTATATACCATAAAGCAAGTGCAATATTAGTCACAATGACATTAATTTTTGTTATTAAGTAATAATATTCTACTATATGTCTGTTTCAGATTCCTGAATGTGGAAGCTCTATAGAATCATGAGTAAAAATCTGCTCTTGACTTAGATAATCAGATCTGATTCTGGGCTTCACAACCAAAACAATTCAGAACCACTGGTAATTTTGAACCAATTAAAAGGGATGTAGACTATTTAGTTCCCATTTCTTTAAATATATTTTTATTGATTTCTAAGAGGAGGAGAGGGAGAGAGAGATAGAAACATCAATGATGAGAGAGAATAATTGATTGGCTGCCTCCTGCAGGCCCCACACTGGGATTGAGCCCGCAACCCCGGCATATGCCCTTGACTGGAATCGAACCCAGGACCCTTCAGTCTGCAGGTTGATGCTCTATCCTCTAAGCCAAACCAGCTAGGGCTAGTTCCCATTTCCTATATGAGCTTAGAAATCCCAGAACTATTCTGTTTCCCTTCCTGTAGTATTTTATTTTATTTTTTAAATTTCTTTATTGATTAAGGTATTACATATGTGTCCTCATCCCCCATTACCCCCCCAACCCCCCTCACTCATGCCCTCACCCCCCTGTTGTCTGTGTCCATTGGTTAGGCTTATATGCACGCACTCAAGTCCTTTGGTTGATCTCTCCCCCTTACCCCTCCCCTCCCCTACCTTCCCTCTGAGGTTAAATTCCAGGTGTTAATCACAATTGAGAAAAGAATGCTGTTGACAGATCAAAATGAACTTATAGATAGTTTCCCATCTTAATAAATACTTTATAAAAAAAGATTATATATCAGAATTGTATTAAAATATAAATATATAAAAATATTAACTAAGACTATACTAAAAATCAAGTTATTCTCTTTACTTTGGAAGTTTAAAAAACTTGCTGTCAACTAGCTACACTAAGCAAAGCTAATTTCCTTATAAATAATACACTGAGGTCAAACAGGACATCAGTATCAATTACTTTATAAATAAGACATTAGTGTTATATGTTGATACTTACAAAATTCGTTCCTTTTTCAGTTTGGTTACTTTTACTTGTAAACCTGAAAAATAAAATGGAAAAAAACCCATAGTGTTTTATTTATACATTTTGCCATTTCTAAAGCAGTTAATCTAAAAATTTTTATGAGTCTACTGCTACACTAATAAGTCACTTGAGACTGGCCTCTGAATAATAAGCCAGGTCCCATTAGTTTAAGAGAGTTATTTCCCTTACTTACACCCTGAGGTCACAAAAGTATATATGTAACATTATTGCTTTTAGTCTACTATATGATAGTCAACTAGAAGGAAATTTTCTTCACCTAAAGTGAGTTATTTGCTTTTTAAAACCAAGGGCAAATATATAATTAGAAGTTCAATATAAATGAAGGTCTATGTTCTGACATAGCCTATGTCCGTGGTCGGCAAACTGTGGCTCGCGAGCCACATGCGGCTCTTTGGCCCCTTGAGTGTGGCTCTTCCACAAAATACCACATGCGGGCACGTGTACAGTGCGATTGAAACTTCATAGCCCATGCGCAGAAGTAGGTTTTCGGCCTGGGCGAGTCTATTTTGAAGAAGTACTGTTGATATTTGGCTCTGTTGACTAATGAGTTTGCCGACCACTGGATGTATTTGCTAACAGCAATAGTGCTTATATAGGCTCAAGTCTTCTGGGATTAAAATAGATTGTGGCCGAAACCGGTTTGGCTCAGTGGATAGAGCGTCGGCCCGCGGACTGGAAGGTCCCAGGTTCGATTCCGGTCAAGGGCATGTACCTGGGTTGCGGGCACATCCCCAGTAGGAGATGTGCAGGAGGCAGCTGATCGATGTTTCTCTCTCATCGATGTTTCTAACTCTCTATCTCTCTCCCTTCCTCTCTGTAAAAAATCAATAAAATATATTTAAAAAAAAATAAAAAAATAAAAAAAAATAGATTGTGACAGGAAGTCCTGTACTAGAAGCAAAATTGTTTATGAAAAGTACTTAACGAAGGGCACCAGTGTTTTAACTCAAGATATGTTATATCTATTTTTAATTTTAATGGAGTCTGACACAAAACAAGAGAAAACCATTGCATATGGAAATTGGATAGTTACTGTGAAGGAAGCAGGTTGTGGGCATTGAAACTGTAAGGAAGATATATAGGCAAAATAGAGTGACATTTCAAATTTTTATAAATAATAATTAAAAGGAGAAAAACAGCTATTAAACAAACATAAAAGATATCCAACATCACTAGCAACTAAGTGTAATCCAAACCAAAACAAATTACTTAGCAAAATTATAATACCGAAGGTTGATAAAAGCATTGTAAAACCATACTCCCATACCTTAATGGAGATATTATAAATCAACACAATTCTTTTGGAAAGCAATTTAGCAATATGTAACAGGACTTAAAAAATCAGTATCTCACATCTTGGATTCTAACCTAAGAATATAATACAAATTATAGAGAAACTCATAGTCATAAAAAATAGTAGCCCTAGCTGGTTTGGCTTAGTGGATAAAGGGTTGGCCCACAAACTGAAGGGCCCCAGCTTTGATTCTGGTCATGGGCATGTACGCCCGTTGAGGGCTCGATCCTGGGCCTGGTCAAGGCATGTATGGGAGGCAACCGATCGATGTGTCTCTCTCGCATAGATGTTTTTCTGTCTCTCCCCTCCCTCCCACTCTCCCTAAAAATCAATGAAAAAATATCTTCAGGTGAGGATTAACAAAAAAAGTAAACAATTTATAGCAATATAAAATGCTTCAAAAGAAACATGTTTAGGTAAAATATGGTATAACCACTTAATGGTTGACCTGGTCTAATTAGCATATTACCCTTTTATTAGTATAGATTTTTATTTTTAAAAATGTTTTCCATCTAGTTGTCAAATTCCTAGCTTGAGAAGCTTCCTTCTTTTTCAGGTAATGATGAAAAACTCCTGAGACCTTGAAGTAGTTAGTAAAACAGCAAATCATTCTTAAAGAATTAAGAAAAGGACTTGTGACCCTACTGGGCCAAAGACTACAGTTCTCAGTTTTTAATGCTCTTCTTCCCTTCCCAAAGTATGTGAAAATGTATTTTTGACAGATTTTCCTTCCTTTTTAAAAAAATTTCGGCTGACTGCTAAAACTCAGATCCGCCTTTAGAAGTGAAAAGTGCACCCAAAGATAAAATGGATTCTTGCCATGAACCATTAAAAAAAAGAAACAATAAGATAGAAAATCCATATAAACTTCAAAAGAAAATTCTTAGGAAATATAGAACGACTACTCTTTTATCTTGTAAGCATTCAACACCTGTGAGGCATTTGTTCTGTCATGCAGATCAGCCCTGAAACAGGTTTATGTGTGTATATGTATGTGTGTGTTTAAATTTTAGCATTTGCTATTCATCAAGTCAATTAGGCATCTACAATTAGAACCCCTATAAAGTGTGCTTTAATCCTGCTCCACACCCATTGGAAGGAATGAGGCTATACAACAATGCAGCTCCTGTATGGACAAGTAGTCTGTTCAACAAAGTATTTGGGATTTTAACACTGGCAACCTGAGACACCCATTGAGGAAAGAGCGCTCAAAAGACCAAGCATTGTACTACAATTAACCCTACACCCAACTCCTATGTGAATTTTGGAGGAAATGAAAATTAAGAGCCCATTTGTATAATTATAACACACAAAATAAATTTAAGAAAGAATTTAGAAATAAGGGAAGAATTCCAAATAAAATCATTGCTGTTAATTTTACTTATATTAGTTCTCACTTTCTTGACCAAAAGTGGCTTTATATATATAGCCCAAGTAATTTAACTTCTACCAAAAATTCTACTACTGATGTTTCTGTAATTGCCTAATAAATTATTTCAATTCCAAAGTGAAAATTCTTTATGAGATGCAGTCATATTTAAGGTGTGCTTAGTTTGCTCTTAAGATTTAATTATCTCAAAAAGGTTAAATAAATTTTTGTGCATTTTATTGAATTTATGAATGTTGACGCAAATGAAAAAAATAACGTATGTGAGAGTTACTGATACTGGTATTCTCTTTTTTTTTACTGATAGTATTCTTAATAATGAGAAGGAAACTGTTGTTATGAACCAAAATTACATGCAAGTCCTTTCATTGTTAATTTGTGTAGTCTTAATATAAAAATTATCCAAAAATATTTTTGCAATTTTTGAGGAAACATCTAAGAAAATAAAAGGAGGAATCCAAAACTGAATCAAGAAATATTTACCCTGTCATATTAGAACCTCCATACCTTCCCATTTCTTCAAAGGAGCTCCAACCCCCCGAACCCCTTAATCTGCCTGGTTTTCTATGAAACTGATAACCATATTTACCAGATATAAAAAATATTAGGTGAGATGCTGATAGCAGAACCTGCCATGGACAAGAGACCATTTATTGAAATGGTAGCATTCTGAAAAACATATTCTAAATTCCATTTTGTTACCTATGCTTTTAAATAATAAACTTGATACTGAAAGGCTTAAAAAGGCCAAAAAACAAAAACAAAAAAACGTACCCAAATGAACATTTTATTAAAACTTTTAAAATTTAAAGAATTCTGAAATTTCTATTAAATTTTATTGAAACATTAATTCTGAATTCAAAGCATAAAGACTATGTATTATCAACAAGAATTTGTCTGTAATCCTGACACTCACCACCAGCATTTGTCACAAAAGGAATATAAGACATTAGAAGGAACAATCATGAAAGGATACTATTATCCCAAAGATAAAAGATAAAAAAAACCTCAGTTACAAATGTCTCTAGAATTTTCCAACAAAAATAGTCTGGTTAGAATATTGTAATTCTTCAATAGAAGTTGTAACACTTTATTATTTCCCAGTTTTAAAAGAAATGCACGTAACTTATTATATTCTTGTGATCAGTGTATGTACTGCCTTGTATATGTTTTTGCCACCAGTTTATTATGTTTTGGTCAAAAGAGAAACACACATAGAAGGTATTCAGATGGATCTAAGTTCCTATGGCTAGACTTTCTTGGATGCCTAAGTGAAAATTGTATATCTCAATTACTACCATTTATAACATTTTCTTTCTTTTTTTAAACTGACATTAACGTTGAAAAGTAATGAGTCAATTTTGATTCCTATATATACTTCAAAACCTGCAAAGTCCGGACAAGTCCATGTTTGATGTCTTTCAAATAGCCTCTTATACTGGTTTCTCCAAGTGGATCACCTACCTTAAAAAAAATGAAGTACCCTTCAGGCACATCTTTGATGTTATCATACAGTTGGAGGATCTCATTTTATATGGAACTATGTGAAACACATTGACAAAGGACTCTTAAAAAATCCTGCTCTCAGCAAATTTGCCTAGCCCTAACCAAAATGCTTTTAAATAACATACTTAAAAAAAAGTAGTACGCATTCAATATCTTTAAAAATCCATGATTTAAAATATATTATAATGTAGCAGAGATTATCTTCTGTCATTAGCTCAAACATATATCCAACACCTACCATTCATAAAGCACATGGATATTAATCAAATACCAACAACTGCTGTATTCCTCCCTTAAAGTTTTTCAGTGATTATAAACTCACCTGGGAGTGTGAGGACTATAATAGTTACAAGGAGTATAATTTTTAAAATTTATATACTATGTAACCTTCGTGCACTTTACATGTCCTATAATCTGATGAATATGGCATATTTTTCTTTCTTCTTCTTCTTCTTTTTTAATATTTTATTGATTTTTTGACAGAGAGGAAGGGAGAGGGATAGAGAGTTAGAAACATCGATGAGAGAGAAACACCGATCAGCTGCCTCCTGCATACCCCCTACTGGGGATGTGCCCACAAGCAAGGTACATGCCCTTGACCGGAATCAAACCTGGGACCTTTCAGTCCGCAGGCTGGCGCTCTATCCACTGAGCCAAACCAGTTAGAGCTGGCATATTTTTCTTATCAAACAGCATATTATTTATTTTCTTGATGTTTCCTCATAAAATAGAAGTCTCCTGAAGCCCCTGAAACATCAAGAAACATGATGAAATCTGATAAATATGTTATCCCTGTTAAGAGCTTAAA